TTTGCAAGCCGATTGCAAAAGCTTGAGTGTTTCTAAGTGAAGCGCATATGCTAAACCTCAACATGAAAGTTAACTTTTTTCCAGTTTTCGAGTGTTATTAAACTAAAAAGTGAAACCAAACTAAACTGCTTCTTGTTGCTGGTAGTTTTACATGTAAAGGCTCTGTGACACCAAGCTGATGGTTGGCCGTTAGGCCGCCGGTGAGCGTCTCTCTTGAGGCGTGTTCCACACGTTGGCAGGAGTTCACCCGATTCAGCATGTAGAATCTGGATCAGGGTTGTCGGTGAGAGAGAACTCTGATTGGCTGATTAGGTTAGCGAACGAGTCGGTACACAAGAATAAAAGCTAAAGTGATGAAAGCAAACAAAGAAGTCACGACGAGAAGGCTGTTCTAATGTTATGCCATATTTCCTGAGCGTTCCAAAATGTGAATATTTTCTTAACATGAGCCACCTGGAATAAATTAAGCGATCAGCATGATTGATATTCAAAATGGTAAGCAAAATATTCGCCTTATGACGAATAAAGACTCAGTTGCACGCAGGTACAGAACGCACATGCTAGTTGACAGTCGCCTCTAGTCCTTTTGGTGTGTTCAAGCGTAGCAGCCGATGCGCGGAGACAACAGTCGGCCGCTGGTTTTGTTGCCGCTAGTTCTTTAACGTCGGCTCGGGGCATCACAGCCTTAAAGGGTTACAGAGACAATTTATACAGAGACATGCCACTTCCTCAATCCTCAATATAACTATATAGGGAAAACCCGTAACGCCAAAGATGGCGGTTGTATGCACATGCCCCGCCCCTCCCGCTGGAAAGCCAATCATCTGCTTTTAACAGTCAAGCCGGGACAATAGTATCCAGCTGCAGACCCGCAGCACCACCAGTTTCAGAACCCCAGCGCCAGAACCGGAAGTAAGGGGCGCAGGTTACGTTCTAACACCAGCGCCAGGACCGGAAGTGAGGGGCGGAGCTTACGTTCTAAACCGAGTAACGCCACCTAGCGTTTTGGAGCGTAATTTGCTTAGACACGAAACCGTATTATTACACACGAAACGTCATACTTTATACTATTATAATGATACATTAAGGTATAGTACAATAAGCATTTTAAAACATTGATTTTGTGTAATATAATTCTATATAGTTATCCCTTTCATTGTATTATGAGAGTTACTTCCTGATCATGATGGTGAAAAATAATGCTTGAAACTTATGGTCATTTTATATAAAATATACTTTATTTCACAAGAACATGTGCAGCATGCATTTTTCTTTATGTCAAATAATGTCAAAAATCTAAAAAGAGAGAGAAAAATCCAGCATTGTTTTAAAAGAAACCATAAAAATGTACCGTACTTCAAATAATAGCCGAGTCCCAAATAGACGATTGTCTCTTTACACGCCTGGTGTGGCTGCAGGTCTGGGTAAATATAAGTCCGGTCTCAAATAGAGGTCGGGTCTGTTTTTTAGTTTCAGGTTGTATTAAATCTTCTAAAACCCGTCAGATCATCCGCTTTTTGGCGGCCGCCAAAGCAAATTTTTGTCCCGCCAAAGCCTATTTTGATCGGTGAGTGATGTAGAATAGAATGACTGCTGCGCATGACAGGGCGCTTAACGAGCAGAGAGAGAGAGAGAGCCCTGGCCGCGCGCGCGCACTCTCACGTCTTCAAACAACACGAGCGCTGTCTTGCTCTTTATTTGTCACACACCAGTTATAGTTCATACAACGAGCAGCGACTCACTGTGTAATAAAAACATACCCTAAATATTATTTAAAAGGTGCAACAATTTTAAATATTTTTAGATAGGACCCTGGTCTTGTTAGTCCGAAATAGCTGCCCGGAGGCGTTGCCAAGATGGCGGCCGAGTGGCATGACTTGCCTAAAAGGACTTTGAGGGTTAGTTCACCCAAAAATAAAAAATATGTCATTAAATACTCACCCTCGTGTTGTTCCAAATCTGTAAGACTTTTGTTCATCTTCACAACACAAATGAAGATCTTTTTAATGAAATCTGAGAGCTTTCTGTCCCTCCATACACAGTCTACGCAACTACCACTTTCAAGCCTCAGAAAGGTGACTCCCGTAGTTTAAGCTCAATTTTATGAAGTGATGCCATTTTGGTAACAAATTACCACATTATTTTAAAAATATTAATCTCCAAAAAAAGCGTTTACGAGAGCACCATGACGCATGCGTGTTGTATTGACGTGGAGCGCTTGTTGGAGTGATGTGATGTATTTCATAGTGAAACTAGATATTTAATGAGAGAAAATGTGGATGAACATGTTTATCCATCAGGAGTTGATTAGATTGTGGAAAGTGGCTGTTACATACCAGATTTTTGGGGCTAAAAAATAAGTGGGCTTGGTGATGTCACCTGAAAAGGAAAGTTGTTTCAGAGACACAGCAAGTTATTATATTATTGAAAAATCATAAAAAATCATGCTTATGTATACAAAGTGCATATAAAAAACATGTAGCCTATAAAAAGTAAATCAAGTTGATTTTGAATGCATGTTTACTTGAAAGAGATCTTCTGATCTTGCCTAGAAGGTCTTGCACGGCCAAATAGCCAAAAGAGCAGTGTGTGAGAGGCGTAACCAGGCCAAGAGAATGTGGTGAGCATCTACTCTAGTTCCTCCTGGCTGAGAGGAGATGTGAGCAGCAAGCCACAGGAATCCCCGAGCTGACCATCTTTTCTAAGTCAGCATGAATGCATCATCACATAAAAGTGGGCGGAAGGAAGCGGCCTCTTGAAAACCACCGTGACCTTCATTAGGACCACAGTCACATGCAGGAGAACTGGGCAAAAAGTTACCACTGTTCATTTGTAGGGGTGTAACGGTACATGTATTCGTATTGAACCGTTTCGGTTCGAGGCTTCCGGTTCGGTACGCATACAAACCGAACGATTCCTTGGACCATTTTTCCTACCGACAAAATTCGTGCTGGCGCGATCACCACAACGTTGCGCAACATCAAATGGCAAGCGTAAAGAAAGCGGAACGAAACTGCGCTACTCATGTGCTTCACGGATCGTGTATCAGTTCGGACCAGCAACATCTGTGCAGCGCGAGCCGATCTCGATCAAGCGACACTGTCACTACACAGCGCTAAGAGATCCAGTGAAGAAAACATTTGAATTCGCCACTGAAGTAATAACATCGCTGTGAGATCTAGTGAGAAGCATTCACATTTCTCCGTTATTAACCGTAGATCTCTATTAGATCAAACAACGCTGACGTGGACACCAGGAGAAATATTGTGCCGTGAATTAACTAATACTTTACGTCCACAGACCAGCAACATTCACCATAACTGTAACCAGTTTGGCTGGAATAGTGAAATGCTTTCAAGTACTTCACACATCTTTTTCCAGCACTTCAAAACTCAAATATTATATAAATAAATATATGAAGAGTTCAGATGCAAAAGCCTCTAAGTGCCATTTGAAATTTTCTTCTAGAATGATCATTTTTATGAAGCTTGTATATTTAAGTTCAGTAATTTCACTCAAATGACAATTAATAGGTAATCTTCATTGCCATTTAAGTGAAATTACTGAACTTAAATATACAAGCTTGATAAAAATAAAGAAAATTTCAAATGGCTTTTGCATCTGAACTCTTCATATATTTAAATGTTATTTTTAATGTGATGACCAAAACATTATTTGTTCATCCTTCAAAGATGACACCCATTTATAAACCTGAAAGTTTCAAGATGTAGGAAAACTCAACTTATTTAAAAAATATTTTTTCTTTTAACAAATAGGACATTTCTCTGGCATTTCTTACTTTTTGCTGTATCGAAAACGTACCGAACCGTGACTTTAAAACCGAGGTACGTACCGAACCGTGATTTTTGTGTACCGTTACACCCCTATTCATTTGTAAACTTTTGCAATTAGTTAGACAGCATTTTCAGTTCCAATCAAGCTGTTGAAAAGAATCCAACACAAGCATCTGTTAGAAAAGATAAACATTAAAAAGTATACATAATTTAAACCTACATACTATTTGTACTGAATTTTAGAAAACACGGTTTTAAATAATGTATATACAGTTTTGTTTATCGATCCAAAAAATACTTTATTCTTTGACAATAATGGAAATAAGTGTTTTTTAAAAACGTTTTTTTTTTGTCCTGGGCAACTATTATATCGCATCCAAAATAAAAGTTTGTTTACATAATATGTGTGTGTACTGTGTTTAATTATTTTGTATATATAAATACACACATATGCATGTATATATTTAAGAAATATTTGCATATATATATATATATATATATATACACACACATATAATTTATATTATATATAAATACTTTTTATATAAATAACAAATTTTTCTTAAATATATACATGCATGTGTGTGTGCATTTATATATTCAAAATAACTATACACAGTACACACACATATTATGTAAACACAAACTTTTATTTTGGATGCGATTAATCGTTGCCAAGCACTAGTTTTTTTTTTTTTTTTTGTGAAAAGTACAACATCTGAAGGTGTTAAATATTAACAATTTGGGGGGAAATGTGCTTTCATTTCAGGAAAATAAGGTCACAAAAGTTAGAACCAGTTAAAACCACATAAACCAGGTTGACCAGTAAGATCATGTTTGATTATTTGCTGCTAAACAAAATGGCTATGTTGGTCCACCAGCACCAAACTAGCTCTAAATAGCAGTGCTAACCCTAACCGTAATCCAAAATACCAGTGTAAATTCTTAGGTCGTCAGTAGCTCGCAGATCATTCCACTAGCATGCTTTGAAGTGTAGTGTTTCACTCATGTGCTGTCAATGCTGGCTTTCATGCAGATTATCCACACTCCACTATTTGCCCTTGTCGGTCACTAATGCAGACTGTAGAGCCTAACATCATCACGTATGTAGTCAAAGAGCCTTTGTGTGTTGTGGAACCCAGGGAGCCTTCTTCCACTGATTTGACCTGACCTCTATGTTTGTTTTCTTCTTGTCCAAACGCTTAGTCACCCACCACGATCCTGAAAACACCTTCAACAGCATTATCGAGCCGCCCTCCGTAGTGGACCAGCCTTCTCCATCATGGTCTTCCCAGGAGTCCTTTTCTTCCTTCGAGACGAGCGAAGACGGGCCAGTTTACTGCATACCCCACGAAGGTGAGCGGGAACTAGCGCAGATAAGCCATCTGTTTGTGCAACATGGAAAACAGATGAGGGAGTTAAGAAATCTCCTGACAATTTTATTAAATGACCCCATTTTGTGGTAAATGCTTGGCCTCTGGGTGCATATATTACGTGCGTTGAGTTAATACAAACAGCAAACGCTATAAATGGCCATGTCAGCAGATGCAAAGCTTTCAGGATGTGACTCAGGACTTTCTGCATAAACCGTGGTGTGGGAGATTGCTGGAAACTGATATAAAAGCATTTTAAGGAAAAAACCTAGGCATTGTTCCATGGTGTTATGCCGTTTCGGTGTTTCTAACTGGTCATAGACATATAATAATCTTTAGGTGTGCTCATTTTATTCGAAATGTTTTTTTTTTTTTTTAATAAGCTGTGCTCGTTTAGTTGTTTTTAAAATATATTTCAGTATACCGGTAGTCAAAGTTGATGTTCAGAATGAAATACTAGCTTAATACTTACTGAGTAGTGCACAATAGTGTCTGTTCAGAAATTACCAGGAAATTAGGGTTGAAATGCCAACAAAACAGTGTTAACTAAAAAATATATATATATTTTATTTTAAATAGTTAAATAAAATAATAAAATATGAAATACGTAAACTTTATTTATATTTACTTTAATTAGAAATATTGCCTTGGCAAACAAATAGAAATAAAATGTGTTTAAGTACTAAAATTACTAAATCTAAAACTGAAATGAAAAAAATAATGCTAAACAGAAATATTAAAATAATAAAAAAGTCAAAAGTAGGTAACAAAATTATATAATAAAAAAATAAAAAGGTAATTCAAAATATTAATAAATACCATAATAGTATATAAATAATACTAAACTAACAGCAACGAAAAGTGACAAATACCCCTGAAATTCAAAATATGAGGGCAAATATTGTCTACAAAAAATTTATTTTTATATATAAATTTTACAGCCAAAAGAATGACACTATTTAAATGAACTGATTATTTTATGTTGGACTGAAATTTAGAACAAAACTACAATTTTAGTTTTAGAATCCAACTGTATAATAGAATTTAGTAATATTTTGCAGACAGATCAAACCATGACAAATGTCAACACAGAGGTGTTAAAAATTATAGCTGATATAACTTCCAGCTCATTAATCACACAGGAACCGGCCAGTCAATTTTTCATGACTACAGTCACAGAGATATATTTCTCTACCACTTACCCCTTACATTGACCTTTTTCAGAGACTATGAACGAGAGCTGTGAGAAGAAAGGTTCTGGCCCTGCTCAAGAAGTATCCTCAACACCCAATGATGAGGACGCAGGAGAGTACACGTCCCTCAAAGACACAAGAGAAACAACAAAACAGTACGTCAGCGACGGAAGCGAGCAGCCTCTCCTGAAATCTTCAGACAGCGAGGGCTCCACCAGTGGTTCCGAGTCAACCATAGGAGCCGTTTACGCCCATGTCGCACGCCTTTCCAAACACTCCAAAGAGGAGGAGGACTCGGCCTCACCGGAGAAGGCGAAAGAGAAGACGAAACCTCGTCCTCCAGACCCGTCCACCAAACCGAAGGTGTCCTGGATCCACGGAACATCTGGAGCCAACCCAACAGAGCAAAGCCAGACTCCATCACCACAAAAAGAGAAGAAGAAGAACAACAACAACTCAGAAGGTTCTGGAAAGGCTGATGAGAAGCAGCGGTTTAAGGAGAAGTCGAGCAAGAACATAGAAAAGCATCAGGACGGGAAGAAGACAGATGGACCCGAATCCCCAAGCAAAAGCAAATCTCACAAAGCTTCAGATACCATAGAGCACCTCAACGGAACATTCCAGAACGCCCTGAAGAAGATTGGAAACTTCCACTCGGACAAGAAAACAAACGACACCAACAAAGAGCCGCCCAAGAGCCCAAAGATCATGCATCCGCACATGAACTCCGAGGCCGCCACGCTACTCGCGGCTCAGCTGAAGGAGAAGACCCAAAGCCTTAATCGGAACGAGGGGCTCACGGTGGGCTTCAAACCCAACGGTGTTTCAACGCCTCAAGCCAACCGAGAGAAACCCACCCCTCCTCAAAAGACCAAGCGCTCTGCAACTGGGACCAACAAGCCCCTTCTGCCCACCTCCGGCAACCTCCAGAAGATGGTGGCTCCAATTTCAGACTCTTCTCCTGAACCTAAAAGCCCAGAAAAACAAGGCCTTAATGGGACCAGAGTTGAAGGAGATGCCACACCAAAGAAAACACCCATCAAAAAACCACCGAGAAAGAAAGGAAAGGAGGGAACACTGGAGACGGAAGGCAAAACCACTCCAAAGACGGCCATCATGCCACCTCAGACTGTCAAATAGATCCGCTTTGATCACATCGGTGCGTCTGTTTTTTGAGAACATAAACGTACAGTTTTTCGATATAGGAATTGGATGGATTGTTCTTTAAATGGACGAGCTGCTTATAGGTTTTAATATTTGGAAGGACTGTGGTTCTCGTTAACTCTTTGAAGTCCTGGAATCGGAAACGACGCCGTGGCTTGTGTACAGTATTGAAAAGGAAGAGTAAATGAATTTAATGTAATAAGCTCTTTTTGTATGCTCTCAGTTTTACATATGCATTACTCAACGTCCATTGTTTTGAATTTGCCACCGCTATCGTAATTGTCTGATCAGCAGGTTTGTGTCTGAAATGTGTATTTAGCACTGTATTCATTGGTGTAAAGAATGAACTAAAGGTACTTCAAAAGGTACAGGAAGAATGATGCCATTATTCATTTTCACTCAGGCCATACAGTATATTCAATACCTTGTTAATGATGTCATGAAGGAAATTGTCTGCTTGGTTTCTGGGACATACGCATTCATCAGTTCTAAGTGCCTAGCATCATGCTTTTTAAGCTAAAAACGTCCGTAATAGTCGTAGTCCTGGCTAATCCACAGTGATATCTATCCTTGCTGCTGAATCTAAACACTAGGTTTTTCCCTTCTTCCGTAAAGTACCCACAATCGGTAATGCATTTTATTCATGACAGATAAAGACTCCATAAAATTTAAATTTATCGTATTTTTTTTTGTCTTTTAGTCCATGTATGCTTACTATTATAGTCCTAAAAGTTCACAAAATAAATGCTAATGTACAACCTTTCTCTGGGATCTTGTACGATGGGGTGTCTTTCCCGAACTTCTGGTTAAAATAGGAAACCAATAACAACATTATTTAAAAAAAAACATGAAACATTTTGAAATATCAGTTTTGATCATATTTGCATTAAAAATAAGCACTTAAATTATTGTCTTTCCAGTAAAAAATCAGTAATGCTTTGTATGCCTTGCTAATATCACATGCTTTTCTCTTCACGACTGAACGTTTATGCAGCACAATAATAACTACGGCATTAATATAGTGTGCATTGCCATTTTATGAAAATGTTAATTTATAAATAATTATGTGTCCTGCCAAAGAAACTTATCATAACGCCTGAAAGATGCCAGTATAACCAACAAGTTCGATTAAAGGGTATAATCTTAATTATTCATTCTTCAGAGTTTGTCTTGACTATGCGGTTGCAGGAAGTTCATTGCATCAACATTTTTTTTAGAATGGCTCATGACTACAGCTTATGTTTATTTTTTTTTTAAGTATACAATCAGAAACACCCCATAGCACTTGCAAATATTTTTAAGATGACATCAACAGAATGCAAAAAAAAAAAAGAGTTCATGAAAAACTGATTGGTTATATTTGAACAAAAATTTGATTAAAAGTTGGATCTGGGCCTGCAGCAGTTTTGAGTTTGTAAGCAGGTTCACTAAAAGCAGATTTTCGATTGTGGTGTACAGTAACTGCTATTCCCTTGTATGGTACCTTATATTTTTCTACATGCGAAGATATTTTGTAATAATATTTTTACCTTCATTTGTAAGCTGTGCTTATGCAACTTATATCTTTGCTTTTTATATTTGTGTGTGTGTGTCAAATGAACTGGTTTTCAAATTTGATTACATTTTACTTTTTTTTTGATGCAAGCATCAGGTACATTTGATTGTAATGTTTAAATATCTTTCCTTTTACTCTCAAAATAACTTTTTCACATTTCTCTGTGGATGTTATTGTTTGTTATGAACGATAAACTGCATGATGCAGAGGTCAGTGAGAGATATCTATGCATGTTACCCCATGTTCTGTTTGTACCGCCTTTCTTTACGTGGGACCTATGACAAGAAACAACTTTTCATGTTTTTGCACGATTTCAGAACATTCCCAACTGCAGTATATGATTTTATGGGCGTTTGAATAACAGATTTCTTTGTTTTCTACTCTGACTTTGGCGTAAGAGCAAGCTTTGACTGAAGCTCAGGCTTTAAACACGGAGCATTATCAGTAACATGCATTGTGTTCATTCATTTTGTCCTGATTTTTTGCCTTTTTATATGTTGTTGATAAGTGGTTGTTCAGTTACCGTATTTGAAATAAAAGCAAACCTGTAGCTCATGAATTGAAAGGGTACATATATCAAATGGCTCTTTTTTCATCAGATCTATCGATATGCAGTGTAGCGACTTAAATATATTAAATAGTATTAATGTCTAAAGTCTTAATTTGCTCATGTATTTTCCCTTAAAACGTTTAAATTAGAAAAAACACATTTTTGCCAATTCGATTCAATACAGTTAAAAAAAAGCCTGTTTTCCACTAAATGAATACAATATATTATAATTAAGAAATTACATTTAATAATTGTATGTATATGCACAAATATAAGAATGGAATATATACCAACATATAACATTTACAACAAATTTAAAATCATGTCAAATATGCAGGGACTTCCTAAATTATCAGTATTATTTTCATTTTGAAGTGGGTGCTAAACTGGCCTACTGCTCCTGAAACTGAAACTTGGGACAAATCATGTAAAAAATAAAAAGCACATTACAATCATCTTGATATTCAATTTCAACCTACATCTTATGTGGCCAACAAAACAACAATGAATAATCTTCCATATATTGCCCATAAAATAAAATACTTATCATTTAGATAATAAAGATCTAATGCACAACAAGTGTGAGGTTGATTCATTTAGTCTATAAATGACACTCTACTCTCCATTTTGTCCTCTCTCTCTCCTCTCCATTTCCCCGTTCATACAGTAAGTGATATTTTACGGTTTCCGCTGACTCCTGGCTGCCTCTGTGCTCTGAGCAGGGGATCATGGGGAGGTATTTTCGTCGCGGTAGCAGTTGCAACGGTGGTCATATGCTCAAACTCTAAAGGGCCCAGAGGACTGCACTGGCGAGCTCCTCTACTGGCACAACAGCCGCTTTCATACAGGAACAGTTGGAAGTCTGTGCGCGGGGGCCCTGGAGTTAAAGCATCATGCGCTGCGTATTTGCTCTCCATTTTCTCAATCTATTTTTTTTTTTAAAGAGAGAAGAGAGGAGTGCTTGAAGAAAGCAGCCAAGATTTCGTGGGCAAAAGGCAACACAGACGAGGCATATCATGTGATCTGTAATTGAAAACAGAGATGTCAAAGCATCCAGACACGCATACACGCGCGCACATTTCCCAAGTCATGCCACTGCTGACATAAAGTAAGTGAGTATTAGGTGAAACTCTGCTTAAAATAAACTGAAGACCATCAAGCATTTTCTCCAAGAAAGTAAAGGAATGTAATACTACATTAAAAGTGAGAAATAATACATTTACAATACAATATAGCTTACATGAATAGCCTGTAGCAGATCTATACAGGTGGAGCTGGCGAAGGGGGAGGGTTTCTGAAAGCGCGCTGCACTGCTAAGGCAAATGCTGGCCGACCAGTATTTGAAGGTTGAGCAGCGAGCTCATTGGCTACTGATACAGCAGGAACCAATCAGCTGTGCCCTATAGCTAACGATGTGATTGGTGAACAGGTGAGTTAAAGGACTTATTAGCCTGCGCCATCTAGAGTTTCATCCCAGAACTTTGTATTTTGCGTAAATAAAAATTCCCCCTTAAATGATCATTATAATGAATCCGTATGTTTTACTGCAGAGAAGGTTCTCATTTATTAAGGGTCTTTATCTTTTATTCATAATTTTAACTATTCTCCATTCTGATTAGATTCTCAAAAAATAATGAAATGCATTTGTATTTATTTAAAATCAGCAATGAATTCAAAAGAAGCCTTAAAATACTGCCATCATATATTAATATTTAACCATTTCAGTAATATACCATTATTTTTTTCTATATTGCCGTAATGAGAATATACACACAATTTCCCCCCGTAAAATCAATAACAGTATGAGTCCTCACACTGCAACTGAAACAGAACTCCAGCTCTGGAAAAGTCATTTATTTAAAAGTCATTTACATCTCTTCCAGGAAACAAAGTTTATTCCTGAAAGTATTCACAAAACAAGCATTTCAGAAGCTACTGTAGCTACTGCTTACAAATAACTCCAAAGCTACGGTATTATGACCGTAATCTGTGACCAGAGAGACCAATGAGATTTCGGAGAAGGCGACATGACGAATCAAGTGCGGGTCTAAACATACCTCTCGAATAGTGGCAGGTCCTTAGAAACACCAGGACCTTCAGAGCCACTGAACATCAGCCAATGGACCCACAGCTGCACGCCTGTTCAGAACTCAGCCGTTGGCATGGCAACAGGGACAGATTGCATCCACATCTGGTAGCGATTTCAGCTCTTGTGAAAAAAAAGGGGGTGGGGGGGGGGGAAGAAATTTATGAGTTAAGGCGGAAAAAGACAAATATTTTCTGCAATGCAAAGCAGAAAAAAGCAGAGGGTTGAGTTACACATGAAAGAGGCTGAGAAATGCGTTTTGTTTGTTTGTTTTTTCCCCCAAACAGAATAGAAGCAATCTTTCATACTTCTGTAAGTTATGAGAATTCAATGGAGGCGTACTGGTCCTCTGGAAAGCTTCTCTGCTGGTTTAAGCAGCTTTCCGTAGGAAGCAGACCATTCGGCGGGCGACAGACTCCAGAGTGAATGATTCTATAATAAGGGCTGACAACAACATAACTTTGACATAAATCATACACTTATATTCTAGCAAGCTTTCTTTCTGTGTCATGGATTCTCATTACAGGTTGCGCACGTTTGTTGTTTTTATTTCTTCTAAACGACTCTAAATACCTGTTACAAAAAAGTACAGTGATATTAGATGGTAATGCAAAGCTTTGATTACCATATCCATATACCATCGCATGTACTCATTACTCAAGGGTCATTCAAACAAGAACATGGTTTTATGCTAATAAACCGCTTTTCCACCGTGGGGCCAAAAGATTCAAAGAACGGTAAGGAACGGTTCCAGTTATATTTCCACTAAAGCTTGGTTTGGCACGATTAGGTTAACCGTTCTCAGCCCTGAATTCGTAATCGTGCCGAACCAAGCTCAAGTATTTTGTATTATATTCTAAAGAGCTCCGTTATCAGCCCCACAGTGGAAACTGAAACCATATCCGTACCGGCTGGGACGGACCGGAAATAGAGTGGTTAAGCAACAAGAACGGTTTGGCCCGATGGTGGCCAAGTTGCTATAGTGTTCAAAAAGTATTTGGGCACCTGAGCCGTGCTTACAAACATCTCAATGTCAATGCATTAGATAACAAAATATTAAAGGGTTAGTGGTTGGTGGCTGTGATGAATCGCACGACGAAGGATATTCTCGAAATAAATCTTTAATCCAATAATCAAAACAATAAACTGTAGAATTACTCGGCGGAAACAACAATGCAAGACAACAAACAGACAGAAACTGAGGTCTTAAATACATGAGGGCAAACAAAGGAGCTGATGAAAAGACTGACCATGAAACTAAAACAGAAAACAAGACATGAAAGCTGAGCAAAAGCAAACTCTCAGAGCATGAACAAACAAACTCAAAACGTGACTAGCACGCTCATGTCCTTCCAAACCCATAATATATTTATTTCGTATCTTTGGAACACAAATGAAGATCTTTTTGATGAAATCTGAGAGCTTTCTGTCCCTCCATTGACAGTTAGCGAGAACAAACCTCTTGCT